ATCGACATACGTCGTCCTTGTCGGAGGAGAAGGCGGAGGGACAGCAACAGCAGGAGCGGCAAGAGAAGCTGGAGCCGGAAGAGATGGACGTGGAGTGGGAGGGGAGAATGATGAGGAGCAGGAAGAGGAGGAGGAGGAGGAGGAGGAGGAGCAGGAGAAGGAGGAGGAGGAGAAGCTGCAGGAAGACGATTCGAGGAGGAGGAGGAGGAGCGGCAAAAGGAGGAGGAGGGGGAGGAGGGATCAGGAAGAAAGCGGTCTGAGGCCTCTTGTATCTGTGCTGGGACCTCGTGGTAGGCCTCTCGGGAGCCGGGGGGAGGCAGTTTAAAGCCTCTTGAGCCGAGTTCTGGGGCTTCTGGCAGCTTCACTTGAGCCTCTTGGGGGCCTCCTGGGGCTCCTTGGGCCTCTTGAAAGCATTTTTGGGCCTTCTCGGGCCCCCTTGGGGCCTCCTCGTGCAGTCTTGAGCCGGGAGGCGCGAATTTTCGGTTCGTGATTCCCCTTTTGGGGTCCTCTTGGGGCCGTCTTGGGGCTCTCTTGGGCTGTCCTGGGCCGCTCTTGGGCCCTCTTGGGACCCTCTTGGGCTGTCTTGGGGCCCTCTTGGAAGCGTCTCGGGCTGTCTTGGGACGGTCTTTGAGGCCTCTTGAGCCGTCTTGGAGCGTCGGACAGCCGAAACAGTGGGAAGGCCAAAATCATTCCAAAACGTTCGTAAAATGTACGATTTCAGCCTCTTGAGGCGCTCTGGGAGGGTCTCTTGGAAGCGTCGTGGGGCGTCTTGGGGGCGTCTTGGGCTGTCTTGGGCCCATCTTGGGCGTCTTTGGGCGATCGTTCGTCGTCTTTGGGCTGTCTGGGGCTGTCTTGGTGGCCTCTGGTGGCGTTCTTGGCCCATATCAGGCCCCATGCCCCGTCGAGGTCGCTGGACCCGGGCCCCTGCCCTCGTCCCCCGGGATATATATATATATATATATATATATATATATACATACATACATACATACATACATACATACATACATACATACATACATACATACATACATACATACATACATACAAACAAACAAACAAACATACAAACATACAAACATACAAACATCCAAACATACATACATACATACATACACCCAGCCCTCGACCCCCGGGATATTTATATATACATATATACATACATACATACATACATACATACATACATACATACATACATACATACATACATACATACATTGTGTATATATATGTAAAATTATGTGTATGGATAACAATGTGCGCTCGCGCGCATGCAAATTCTCCAGAAAACCACCGGCTTTTCATTTTTGTTTACCAAACTCGGCAAAGCGGGCCTCTTGTGCCGCATGTCGACATCATTTGAACGCCCTTGCGCGCGCGCTGGGGGGCACGATCCGTGTCAAATAATACCATGCGGGCCACCCTCGCGGGTCGGCTGCGCGCGCATGTCGAATCCCTTTCGAAATCTTCATCACCGACGCGAGGACGCCGTCATCGTCGCCGTCGTGATCAGCATCGGCGCCGTCACTGGCCGTGCCGTCGCCGTTGTCATCATCGTCACCAGCATCGCCACTATCATCATCGTGTCTACCGTTGTCGAGGTTGCCATGATACCGCGCCCGCCCAAATGGCCGACTCGACCCGGCAAGGGTAGGGCTCGCAATCGGTCGCAGACTCCAGATCCCAGACAATCGAGGACTACAACCGACGGGACCACACAATCCTGCGGTGACTATGGCGTTGCATGTGTTCTGGTGCATTACTATTGTTTCGCCAGGAGGGCCGCTCCTCAACCACGGTCGTCGAGGTCTTCCCTCCTGGCGCTATTCGACCAGCGCAGCCCAATCTACCCCACTTTCGCTACGACTTCGGCGGCTTGCGGATACGACGATGGCTATAGATGTGTCGCCTTGGGCGCTGGTTCTCACACCACCTGCAAAAACCATGATAAACAACCACCAGTAGCTTGCTAGACTGGCAGAACTCCTCAGGATGCCACTCATGGGGCACCAGTAACCAGATGTGCGATACCACCTCCGCCAGCGCTCTTTACACCTGCTCCGCTTCCGACTACGCCGGCAAGGACAGGACACCGTCGCCTTCTGGGAGCGTGCCGTCACACTGGTGCAAACTAGAGGCCTCATCCATGCGTACAAGTCCCGCTTGGCTACCATTGGTGTCGGGCGGAACGACAACGGGGAAGCAGCTTCACTCACGACGGGAGCGGACCAGAGGGGACCCTCCGACTCACGGACGGGACGGGCAAGCAGCTTCACGAGCTTCGCCCGATTCTCCAGTCTACAGAGCAGTCGGCGTTGCAAAGGCAGGACTCGCCAGGGGTGCCCCCTGACAGTGGGTGCCCCGCTCCCAGCGGCCGCGCTGCGCGCCGCCCAAGATACACTACGTACGACTCCCGATCTGGCTTCTCACATGACCGCGGTCCTGAGGGGTCCTGTGCGGATGCGTTGTGTCGCACGCGCTTCTGCAATCCCAAACGAGGTAAGAACTACCTACTGCTTGCAACCATTGTGGTGGGGCTTGCGTACCCACTCTCGAACACTACTGCTGGGTTTGTTCTGACAGTGGCGATCTTCGTCAAGGCGTACGGGTCCCGACGTCCAGTCTTACACGGAGGCTGAGAAGGCCCAACAGAACTTACCAGAAAAGCTGCGACAACTGCCTGGCTTCAAATTGTTTACGCCATGGCTAGAATACGGCAACGGGTTCTACACGCTCGCTTTGCCACGACACGCGAAGAGGGGTCGGAATACGAAGGAGCACGGCTCAACGATCCTGGAGGGAAAGTCCTTCACCACAAGGGGGCCAAGCTGTGACCACACAGTCCTGAGGTGAATGTGAGACTGCATGTATCGCGCTGCACTACAGCTGATCTGCCCAGAGGAACCGCTTCCCAAAAACGATCGCCGAGGTGTGCCCTCGTGGCGCTGTTTGACAAGCACAGCCGGCTCTACCCCCCTACCCCCCGACGTGTTCAAAAAGATCCTTGCAAGACCTTGACTTCGTTTCGTTGGGGGCTGAAAATAAGATAAGAGCTCGCTGTCTGCTACTATTTAACGCCGTTTAAGGCCATTGAAGGTCATTTAAGGTTGCACATCGCACGCACCCGCGGCGGCAGCGGGCGCAGCCCTTCGGACAAAGTCATGTACCCACGACACATCCATGCGCGGAGCGTCCCGAGCCAAACCCAGCGGTGAGAACGCCCTGGCGCCCGACCGCGGAACGGAACGAGCTCTGGGCGCTCCTTCCGCGAGGCCGGGATGCCAGGGCCTGACACCAGGAGTAAGGAGGGCACCAACTGTACACATAAACCGATCCAGGCCAGGCTCGATCAGGGCCCTCGATCGGTACATACGCCCTCCTGGCTTGGACGAGAAGGCCCATACCCTGCACACCGATCCTGGGCCACGGATCGGCCTGTCCAAGATGGGTGTAGGTGCGTACAGTGGAAGCCAGTCCTTTCTGGTGTGGGAACGTCGAGCTTCCCATCGCAAGACCATCGAAACCCAAGAAACCCAGGGCACCCTGGAGGCAAGCAGGGTGTTTCTTGGCATGGGCCTCCACTGTAGTTGGCGCCCTCCCAACGAGCGGAACGCACGACCTCCTCGCGGTGCGCCGACAGCGTGTACCTGAGATCCCGGCGTTGCAATTTGGCAGCCGCAGGCAACTTCGCCTCGCTTCGAGCAACAGGGCCCTCACAGATCGATGCGACCCGATGAAACGCCACAGGAAGAGGGGGTCTGGGGCTCTGGTCGTGACTTCTGACGATGGAAGGATGCCCATATCCACTGCCGCGGGGTCGTGTCCCAGGGATTCGGGGAGCGGTGGATACAAATGTCTGCCCACCCACGCGGGCAGGATAATTACCCATACCCAGGGCCCGACTCCGAAGCGGTGGATGTGGACATACGCCGCCGGCTGCGCGCAAGAGTGGCCCAAGTCAAAAGTGACCCTTCGTGAGCGGCCTTTGGGGCGCAGCGGTGGGACAAATCCACAATGGTGGGGCAAAGCTTGAGGGGCAACGATAGGGGGTGGGACTGGCATCGGGGGGGATGCATCGCCATGGAATCGGCGATGCATCGCCGATAGAAAGCTCAGAGGGTAAATGCCTCTGGACTTGGGCGCGCTTGGCGCGTCGCGCGAGGCGGGGTGGACCAGGCCCGGGGGCGCGGCTCCGCAGACCCTGGATCCCCCCAGCAACCCTCGCGGAACGAGCGCTGGAGACGCACTGCTGCGAGACCAGTGGGGGACAGATCGCTGGGGGGGACCCCTGTGGGCTCGCACCAAGTCGGGGATGGACAGAACCCCCTTCAGTAAAACGTGGTTTCGCAAAAACGACCTCGGGCCCAAACCTGGCGGGCGCAAGACTGGAAAATTACGCTAATCGACGTGTCAAGGTGGGGGTTCTGTCCACCCCCGACCAAGCGAGCAACCAAAAAAAGGACCCCGGATCCTTTGGGAGGGGACCTGAGCTGGGAGGGCCCGAAGCATCGGGGTTAGGGGGTCTTTTCTGAAGATGTATCGAACCAAACCGTCCAGATTTATCATCCCTAATGCAAAGACGGGGACCTCAGTGAGGCCACGTCTTCATCGAGCTACTAGGGTAGGGGTTCTCTCGTTCTCGATGACCAAGGGTCTCTCCGGCGAAGGGCTTCTCTTGCGCGCAGCCTCCTCCGTCGGTGGAGCACGACCTCCTGCCAGCCCCACCAGCGACAACCTCGGGCAGAGGAGCAGAGAGGGCAGGTGCAGAGCGGGGCTTCTGGGGGGGCAGGGCGGAGGAGGGG